CGACACCTGTATCCAGCCAGGGCATGTCTGCATGAAGAGTTTAGAGATTCGATACTTGTATCCAGCCAGGGCATATCTGTAGACGACTAATTCCAGATTCGATACCTGTATCTAGCCAGGGCATATCTGTGAGTGATTGATTATGGATTCGACACCTGTATCCATCCAGGGCATGTCTGCATGAAGAGTTTAGAGATTCGATACCTGTATCCAGCCAGGGCATATCTGTAGACGACTAATTCCATATTCGATACCTGTATCTAGCCAGGGTATATATGTGAGTGATTGATTGTGGATTCGACACCTGTATCCAGCCAGGGCATGTCTGCATGAAGAGTTTAGAGATTCGATACCTGTATCCAGCCAAGGCATATCTGTAGACGACTAATTCCAGATTCGATACCTGTATCTAGCCAGGGCATATCTGTGAGTGATTGATTGTGGATTCGACACCTGTATCCAGCCAGGGCATGTCTGCATGAAGAGTTTAGATATTCGATACCTGTATCCAGCCAGGGCATATCTGTAGACGACTAATTCCAGATTCGATACCTGTATCTAGCCAGGGCATATCTGTGAGTGATTGATTGTGGATTCGACACCTGTATCCAGCCAGGGTATGTCTGCATGAAGAGTTTAGAGATTTGATACTTGTATCCAGCCAGAGCATATCTGTAGACGACTAATTCCAGATTCGATACCTGTATCTAGCCAGGGCATATCTGTGAGTGATTGATTATAGATTCGATACCTGTATCTAGCCAGGGCATATCTGCATGAAGAGTTTAGAGATTCGACACCTGTATCCAGCCAGGGCATATCTGTAGACGACTAATTCCAGATTCGATACCTGTATCCAGCCAGGGCATATCTGTAGACGACTAATTCCAGATTCGATACCTGTATCCAGCCAAGGCATATCTGTAGACGACTAATTCCGGATTCGATACCTATATCTAGCCAGGGCATATCTGTGAGCGATTGACTGTAGATTCGATACCTGTATCTAGCCAGGGCATATCTGCATGAAGAGATTGAAGATCAACACCTGTAACAGGCCAGGAAATTATCTTCCTTTCTCAGGTACGCAAGTTCTCGCTAAGGAATCTCTTACGCGATCGACATCTCTAGATGGCATCTATAAGCCCATCCTCCTATCCACCATCTCTCCAAATGGCATCTGTAAGCCCATTCCCGACATCACATTGCTGATATTCTACTATGTGAGTGCAAATTTTTGGGCACTCTAGTGTTCAATCATCTTCCACCTTCGGATCACGAAAGGTACGCAAGCCAATCTACATCCTCAGGTTTAAGAAGATTGAACAGGGGCAATTGTTGTACCCCAAAATTTGCCCTCCCATATTCTTCAAGGTTTATCAAGAATCATCCTCAAATGGTTCAAGATTACTCAAGGGTTGCACAGTTCAAATGCCTCATAAGCCAGTCAAAATTAGGGTTTTGGTTCTCTCAAGGAATTTGGGGTTTTCAGTGGTCCAATCAAGTCTCATGTGCCCATATACATTGTCAAGCATCTACATGCCAAGTTTCAAGACTCACAGAGGCAAATTGCACAGTCAAAAGCTTCATTTGCTTCACAATCAACTACAGGGGCAAAATGGTCATTTTACAGTCAAAAGTCAAAATTTATGGTCAACATCTTATTTTGAGCACACAATCATCATTTGATCAAGTCTTGATCATGATTCCACAAGCATGGCTCAAAAATCATCAAAGATGCAAAAGTTGCTATTTTTGGACAGCTTAAAAGTCAACTGTAACTTGACCAAGGCATAACTCTTTCATAGTTCATCAGAAAAATCCCATCCAATGCTCATTTTGAATGGGATGACATTTCCTACAACTCATCTTCACATTCCAAGTCCAAGAAATGCTCTCACAAAAAGTTATCAATTTCAACATTATAGGTCAATTTCAAAAGTCAACAAAAATGCACTTTAAGTCAAAGACCATAACGTGAGATTGGTAAATCCAAATGACATTGGACCAAAGGCATTGGTTAGAGGACTTCAAGACCTTTCCAAAATGTCCAAGAACATGTTCATATAATCAAAATTGAGCAAGATATGCATTGGAGAAGTTGGGAAATTTTCATGAATGTGCAAAAGTCAACTATCCTTAAAACTTCAATTTTTGACAAAAGGGGCCACTTTCTTCCACTTGATTCAGCCTTGTCATGCCACACACGTGTCCCATGATTAATTTCAAGATCAAACATTTATTTTTCCATTTTATTTAATTTTTATTGATTTAATTCATTTTAAATCCATAATAATTCAAATAAAATCTAAAAATTAATGGAATAGCATCTTTGTGATTTGAATAGCTTTTATATGTCATATGCCAGCTAACCAATTCGTGCTAAGCCTTTTTTGTGCATAAAATCCTAGATTTGAACCAAATATGGAAAGGTCTTCAATGGTGGTCAACCAAATCTCCAAACTTAAATACACAAGGATACAAGCCCAAATTTGGACCTAGACTGCTTGCCTTATACATATGCAAGTAACCTAAACCTAATTCACGACCTGAGGATTGCTAAAACGGCCAAAGAAAATTGCAAAGTTTCTTGAAAAAAAGTGTGAGATCAAGAACAAGGTTGCAGACGTTTTCAGATCAAAATAAGCACGTAGCCTTCTTCCTTGCTATCCACTGAAGCTAAAGCGATCATAAACATGTCCTTAGACCACCTACAAAGCGCAGTAAGTCGTCACGAAGTCACCCCTGGACATGGAATCGTGATTCTTCATTCTTGCATTTTTTCTCAAAAACATTGGCATATCCATGTTTCTCGCTTAATTTCTAACCTAATGGCAATATTCAATTTCGTTTTTAGGCTTCATATGATGTTACCCGCGCCTAGGGTTTGTGTGTGTTATTTTTAGGCATTTTGTTTTCAGGTGAAATCAGAACAAATCATGAGCATGAATGGACTTAGGAGATGGAGACGAGACCGACCATGGTCTTGGAATGGGTTTTTGAAGCCTAGGGACGATTTTAAGAAAAGCCTACGAAACTACCTGCGGATAAAAATCCGCAGGTAAATAACCTGTAATTTTGATGAAGAAGACGATGATGCGTCACAGTGTGATTGACCCGTTTAAAATTAAAGCGCATTTTTTTGTTTGCTAGCATATTAATTGATTTCTGAATATTATATTTGGTCTTTATTTCACTAACAATTGAACAAGGCAGTTGGGTTGGTTAAGGCGTGCAGGCATAGTCCCTTGGGACCTGTGTTCGATTCCCAGGTCCCCAAAATAATTGTTTCATATTTTTTCTAACCTAATCACATGCAGGCTTCCTAAATGTACCCCACCATGCGTCTCCAGCATCCAGGCGCCAAGTGGCCACAAATGTGAATCCAAAGGCCAGAGATGGAGGATCATGGTGTTCCTCAGTCAACATGCACGTAGACCATTCAGAAGGTCAACGCAGGCTTGGGGTTAATGGGCTTGAAATCTGCTAACAAAACCTCCTAATGGGCCCAGAACCCCCTTTGGTTCATTCCTTTTTTTATTTTATATTTTCTATTTTATTTATTAACTATTTCTTCTAATTATTATTATTATCACTAAAATTAACATAATTAATTTTTCCCAATAAAAATTTAGAAAATTAAAAATGTAAATATTTTTGTTATTATTATATTTATTAATTTTAATTATTTTTTAAATAAATACTAACCAAATTGATTTAGTTTAATTAGGTTAATTTTGACTATTTTTCATAATAAGTAAAATAAATTAGACTTAGGTTTTTACTAACTTTTGACTTTTAATTTCTTTTCTTTTTATTTTCATTAAAACATAAAAAAACACAAAAATACTTTTTCTTTAATTAATTAATTAATTAGTAAATTAGGTTTAATACTTATTTAATTGCAAAAAGGACCAATTCCATTCTTTTCTCAAAAAAAGGTCAAAACCCTAAAGACGTCCCCGATTCAATTATTTCGCGCGCATATTTATTTTTAATTCATTATTTTGATTATATTTATGTATCTGTTCCGGGAATGTAATAGCGTAATTAGGACCTCTTTTATCGCTTTATTTATTTTCTCGCAGTTTATTTTTTCCAAAGGGTTTGTTTTTTGCGATGTATATACCCGCGCCTTGTAATAGCGTAGATTTACCTTCCGCACTTTATTTCCCACAAATTATTAAACTGTTAACGATGCATGACAAGACTTGTATGGAAAATAAAATCAACCCGTAGCTCACAATGATGCATGCAAAGACAATTTAACTGAAAAACAACACACATGCACATGCCACTCCTAGGTACGCCTCACTTGGTTGCCTCGAGATGGTCATCAAGTATAGGGTGTTTTAGAGGTCGCTCTCCTGTCTAAAGATCCAGTTGCCTCGAAACGGTTGCCTCGGATAAAAAGGATCTAGGACATTAGGGTTACCGCTAAGGCGTCCTGCTATTGCTTTGGTGACCACATGCCCCTATAATCGAATTGACCCGAATAACTCCAACGACGGTGCTTCCTACTTCTAAATAGTGGGATAGTACTGTCTAAAGGACTCTTACACAGCCTAATTCCTTAGAGTAGGTAGATTTCTCCTGGATACTTGCTCTTTCAAAAACAAAAACAACTTTTCGCACTTACACTTTCAAACAAAAGTTTTCAAACAAATACTTCATACACTCTTGAGGACTGATACAAGAGTTACCTAGAAGTTTTTTTCAAACTAAACTTTTTCAAAACCCACAAACACTTGAAAAGCAAACAATTTTTGAAAACATAGTGAGCAAGTACCTAAGAGCCCATGGATAACCATGGATAGAAAGGGTGCTAACACCTTCCCTTTCTATAAATCTACCTCCCGAACCGAGAAACATTCTCGAAAAGGAATTTTGCTGTGCTTTTGTCCTTTCCTTGTTGGAGAACATAAAAGACGGTGGCGACTCTTGCTTACCGCGATATTTCGCGAAACCAGCTAAAAAATAGTCAGTTCTATTTCCACCGATCACAGGGTGGTAGTGACTGGTTTGAGGGTTGCTGAATAGGGTGGTGGGGTTGGTGTATGGGGGTTAGGGAGGGAAAACATTGGGGAAAAGATTTGAAATTTAGGTTTTGAATCCTGTATTTTTGATTCGATTAATTTGGCAAGTCCAATGGCTTGGGAAATGGAAACAGGTTTGTGTATGACAATTTCATTTTGAATAGCAGGTGCCAAACCTGAAATAAAACAATTTAGGATAGCTTCATGAGATAACCCCACAACTTGATTACCTAGTTTCTCAAATGCAGCTTGATATTCCACAAATGATCCAGTTTGCTTTAGTTTAAACAGTTCTGCTTGGTAATTAGCATATGTTGAAGGAACAAAACGTAATTCCAAAGCTCTGGTAAAAGAGACTCAATCTAACAAAAGTTGATTTTTATGCATCCATTTAAACCAACATAATGCTTCTCCTTTCATGTAAAAAGACATCATTGACAATCTATTTTCTGGTGGTAATTGGTAAATATTAAAATATTGTTCAGTTTAGAATAACCACTCTAAAGAATTTGAACCATCAAATAGGTTAAGTTCCAATTTAGGGGTACGGAAATGGGATAAAGGAGTAGTTTGAGAAACCTGGTTGTATGGAGGTTGTTGTAAAAATTGATAGTTAAAATTTTGGTTGGGTGTGTATCTCGCTGGAAAGTAGGGTGGCATATAGATTTGTTGGGTGTGAATGGTTTGTGAGAGGCGGTTGTATGTTGTGAATGACGGTGGAGAAATAGTGATAACTTTAGGGCTTGAGGAGACAATGGTATGTAATGGTGATTGAGAATAAATGGGAGTAGTTTGAGTTGGGGTTCGTGAAGGTGTAACGACATGAGAAACTACTGTAGTATTCATGGGAACAGTAGAAATATTTTTTGTGACACCTGATGATGAGGTTGTAGCTTGCACAATGGTGGTAGGTTGCTGCTCTTTTTGGTGAACCAGCTTGGTCAAAATCGACATAAACGAGTCATAGCGATTGTCAGCCACATTTCTCTCGTTCTCCATCTGCTGCAGCAGCTAAGTTGAAACGTTCATCAAATTGTTGTTGGTTTTCTTGTAAAACATTGTTGAGGTATAGCTGGGTTGTGTGAACAACTTCTTCAATGATCTCTTTAGAAGAAGGATTAGAAGGTTAGCGAGGGGCCATGAGGATAAAGAATGAAGGCACCCATTGATAAATTGATTAGAGTAACTATTTTTCAGATCTAGATTTAATCCATTAGATAAACATAAAACAAAAATATAAATAAAAAATATAAAACAAAGAGATTGAATAATTTTTCTCCCTCAAAATAAGAGCATAAAACTGTTTAAATACAAGATATTAATAAAATCCTAAAACACAAAATGAGCCTAGCCAGACAACAAAACATAACATGCTTGTTATAATTCGCTTGGTCCAGTTAAACATTAAGTATATGTTAAAGTACTTTTTATAATTGAATAAAAAATAGATCGGGCGTGTGATAAAAAATAAAACAATCACTTAAAATAAGCACGTTTCAAATAAGCACTTTTAACGAGTTATACTACTAACTGATCTGCCACCTGTAGATATCAGCAGAGACGGCCACGACCAAGCAGAGTAAGCTTCGTTGATTTTTTTGAATTCAATTTTGGAGTTGGCATTTTGACTTTGACACTCGCCGCGTCAAGCCAAAACCCAAATCGAACCACCGTCCCACGTGGCATAAACCACTTCTTATCTGCCACCTGTACCCGCCAACTACCTCTCTCATTTTCTCTATAATACTTTTCACATTTTTTTCATCTCTTTCTCTTTCTCTCTGAAATCTCGTTATAATTCAATTCCCGCTAGCTCCCTCACGCACCGCCACAACGATGCCGTACTGCGACGTCGGAACACAGATTTCCTCCCCAACCACCTCCTCCTCCGCCGTCGCACCAGCCGATGCTCAACTCAACAATGACGTCAAAATATTTTACAGAACTTACGGTCGCGGTCCCACCAAAGTCCTTCTAATCATAGGTATTTATTTATTTCCATCATCGCTTCATTCTTCATCATTTTTTTTTTAATTTTGCTGAATTTTTGGAGATTGAATTCATTGAATGGTTCAGGATTGGCTTCTTCACATGAAGGGTGGGGCCCACAAATCAAGGGATTAACTGGAACAGACGTACCTAACGATGAAGACGACGTCGTTTGGAGTGGAGGTGACAATGAGGCCGGTGGTGGTATCGAGGTTTGCGCTTTTGATAATCGGGGCGTGGGTCGGAGCTCCGTGCCTATCAGAAAGTCCGATTACTCGTAAGATACAACTTATTCTTATGTTTTAGATTATTCATTTCAGTGATATAGTACATTGTTTGGCTTCATTTAAGTAACAATTTGAAAAAGTGGAATTCATTGAATATTGATATAAGGAACACCAAACAAGTCTTTAATATCAAGTGATTTTGAATATTGGTGAATGGTTATTGAGTGCAGAACAAGGATCATGGCAAAGGATGCAGTTACTTTGTTGGATCATTTAGGTTGGAAAAAGGCACATGTTTTTGGCCACTCGATGGGTCAGTATTATCTGTTTTTCATTTTTCCAGTGAGTTTTTAATTTAAGATATAAGATTGGTTAGGCTAACTTTATTTATTTGTGTTTGTCTAATGAAACAGGGTCTATGATAGCTTGTAAATTAGCAGCAATGGTTCCTGATAGAGTTCTTTCATTGGCGTTGCTCAATGCAACCGGAGGGGGTTTTCAATGTTTTCCAAAGGTATTATTTTTGTTTTTAAGGGACTATGTGATTAGAGCATTGATGATGCAATTTTTGTAGCGTTAGTTAAATAACTATATTGATTGCTACCAACACTTTTTTAATTTGAAACTCTGTTCAGAATGAGTGGACTTGCATAGATAATAAGTAGAATTTCTTAGTACTGATTTTAGGTGATCCTTTTTGAGAAACTTACATGAAAATTTTGCAGACTTTAGATGTTTAGTGTGCTTAGTTTGGAACCTGATGCAATTATGCTGCTTTTGAATTAGTTTGAGAAGATAACTTGATAATTGGTAAGGTTAAAAAGCATTGATCAATCAGAATATGCTACATCAGATCATTTTTAATGTTGGTTGGATTAATTTCTAGCATTTAGGATCATCCTATTGTTATTTCTTCAATTGTTATAGTTAACAATTGAAGAAAAAGTGTTGATAAACCATGACAAATTTCTTCAACCTTAGCAATACATGAAATAACAAAACAATTCATTGGGTGTAAAAAAATTGTAATTGCAATTACTTAAACCTAGATTCAGCTGCTTGCAGTTATTTCAATTTTTAATATAAAATTAACAGGATTGTATTTGCAATTAGATATATAATGTTGGAATTATGATCTGTCTGATACATGTACATTATTGCCTATAACTATTATACACCTTTACACCAGTTTGGAATCTGCGTCAGGTCCTTATAAGCGGTTCTTGTTCTATTTTTTTGCAGTTTGACCGACGAACATTTTCTGTTGCTTACCGTTTCTTGAAGGCAAAGAGCCCTGAGCAAAGGGCTGAAGTTGATTTGGACACCCACTATTCACAAGTAAGCATGTTTTCTTGGTTTTGTTGATTATTTACTGCTGACATATAACAAAGTTGTATCCTTAACCCCTCTCCCCAGCTATATAAAACTACTGTAAAAGTAATGATTTTAAAAAAATTGATTCACTCAGGTTGTATTCATGTATAATACAAGAGAGCAGTGTTGCCTATTGCCAATGGCGGTCCATGGCGGAGAGCCAAAATCCCGCCATACCGTCCGCTTGGTAGCACTGTCATATAGAATTATGGCAGAAAAACCCGCAATAGTGGCTGATATTTACCATTGCGGCAAGCCCAAAAACCGCCACTTATATCCGCCATAGCGTCGCCATGGCCGATATCTGATAACAATAAGAGAGTCAGAATTTTGAAATGAATTAACATTAAGCTGAGGAGGTTATCTTGTTCTTCCGGTGTTAGATCATCTCTGAAGTCTGAACTACAGTTACAAACAGCCTAGAAATCTATGCCAACGGCTCAAAAAACAAATTTTATTCATGATGTGCAGGAATATCTTGAGGAATATGTTGGAACTGTGAAGAGGAGAGCGATATTGTACCAGGTAGAGTACATTAAATAAGCATATTTTAGTTAAGTTTTGTTGATGCTTAGAATGCTTGGACTTTATTATTTTGGTGCTTTCGTTTAGGTGTTTGTTTGTTTCTATAGTCTAATAGCAATGTATATTTATATTTACAAAGAAAATAGAAACTTATGCGGAGAGTTGTAGCCTACTTGGCTGCATTTAAAGTATATAAATGCAGAAAATTGTATGCATATTACTAGGACAGCAATGCATATTACTAATCTCTAACATATCCATATCTATGTAGTAAAATTAACTAGAGTCTAATATATATCATTAAGGATTATTTAACTAATAAATCTACTAAAATAGACTTGAAATTGATTGATGTCACTTATGATCATATAAGCCAGCTAATATCCATTCATACTCTAAACCACTTATGATTTCTTGAATAGTACATTGAATTCAGATCTAATAAAATGAATCATTGTTTTATAATAGAAACTCCATTTCCTTGCCCTTGTTCATTTTGAACATTCAAATACGGGATAATTAAGCCACCATTTAGTTATCCACTCTCAACCGCCAAACACCCTATGCCTAGTTACCGATCAATGTATTGCACATCATTATGCTGTGCTGATTTTAGTATTCAATTTCTTTTTTCTTATAGTTTTTCTAAGTTTCTGTCATCCTCTCTTTCAGCAATATGTTAAAGGAATATCAAGTAGTGGAATGCAATCTAACCACGGCTTTGACGGTCAACTCAGTGCATGTTGGAACCATAAAATGACACAAACAGAGATCGAAGTAATCAAATCTGCAGGTTTTCTTGTTTCCGTCATTCATGGCAGGTGTGTACTGTGTGTGGAGACATTAATGTAGTGCTTTAGAAATGAGACTTACACTCAATCATGCACAGATTATTCGCACACACATTAGGCAAATTATGCATGAAAATGCTGCACCCATACATGAGTCACATATACATTAGCATCTACTTCACAGTTTTAACGAGAGTGCTGCATGTTCAGGGATGATATAATTGCTCAGCTATATTATGCAAGAAGACTTGCCGAGAGATTTCATCCAATGGCTCGGATGGTAGATCTTCATGGCGGTCATTTAGTGAGCCATGAGCGGCCTGAAGAGGTATAATTTGCATGTAATAGTTACCTAATAAATTAAACTATTATATCACACTTACTTCAGAATTTGCACGTTGTACTTTGTCTCTAACAATACATTGAAAATGAACTAAAACATTTCAAAATTCAGGTTAATCAAGCACTTTTTGACTTGATCAAGGCCTCAGAAGTGAAGATGATCCCTCATGATTGGACTAACTTGCCAAATGCATTGTCTTGTAAGTATTTCTTTGTAGATGAAAATAATGTATTTTGTGCCTGGCAATCCAACACGAACTCGCACATGTGACGCATACCATGACTGTTTTCTGTATCTTGGTTGGTTAAATTGTGGTAGTAATGTCTGATCTTCTAGCAGAGATCGACCTGGTTGGTGGGTTTGGGCAGATGTACGTGGTCAAAAAAGTTCTACTTAACTATACATGACTTACCATTAGTCCACATAATAACCTAGAAAGGTTTCCCCTTACACAAGTTGGATTTGGTTAAAATACTAACTTCAAAGAACCACAACCATTTTCACTCTTTCAGAATTCGCCTAGTTCCTCTCTTCTCAGCAGCAAACCCAATATTCATTTGTGGATTGTTAAACTCTTAGTTGGTTTCCTACTTGGTTAGATGATTTAATTAGCATCCAACAGTCCAAATCTTTACAGCCACACAACACAGAGCTATGTTTCATCAGTGTGCATACCCGGTCTCAGCTGAATTTACAGGTGAATTCCTTTATGATGACCTAGCTCTAATGCACAGCGAAAAGAAAAATAATTTCAGATTAAGAATGGTTGCATGAAAAATTGACTTGAGGAAAGAAATTTAACTAGCAAGTTGTCAAAAATGTTTTCCCCTATTGGGGTTACTAACCATTATTTCTGTCTGTCAGTAAGCTCAAACAAAAAAGTTCTAATATGACTACATTATTAAAAATCTGACATATCTATTAAGTTGCAATGAGTCAGAGCTTATGGGGATTGAGCTGCGACAAACTATCTGGATGATTATAGAAAATAGTGTCACTAGAGATATATTAGTTTGATTATTTGCACACCTTTTTTTTCTTTCTTTTCTGATAAAGCCTGTTATGCAGGGTGGGATGAGAAAAGGGTGTTATTGGTCAAAAACAATCAGAGTGGAAGCAACGTCTCCTTTAAGTGCTACTCAATAGAAAAACTGCATCTCTGCCTACTATTCTTCCTTAGCCTCCTTATTATGTTACTTGAATTTGGAAGAAAGCTTGTAAGGAGATTAAAACCAGTTCGAGTTGGAAATTCCACCGCATACATTGAAAGTCAATAAACCCCTTCTTTTTAATAGGTAAACTATGAGTATTTGTTTTACAATTTTAATTACACTTCTCACAATGGAAGTTAGTTAATCATTTAGCTAATTGCAGGTGGGTAATATATAATTTGGTAAACCCTAAAGGGATAGATCACAGTAAGGGTTCAGCTAGATGATGATGTATAAGGCAATTTTTGACTCTGTTTTCTCGGGCGGATATGAAGAATGACATGAAGATAACCAACCCTTATTGACATGATGAATGTATATCCAATAACACCAAAGGGAGAGAGAAGAGGATGGACGATCCACTTTTCTGTGATTCGTTTGTGTTGTAATATAATTTTGTATGTTTATTCAAACTATTAAACTATACAAACTCTGCTCCATAATACACAATGAATGTCATGACTCGTGACCTCAGAATAGAATATATGTTAACTTTTGTTCAACATATTTGAGGATACATCGATAAGAATATCTGATTTGACCTAACTCAATTATACAAAACGGCACGGCATCATAAATGTTTATGAACTCTGGAAGAAAAAAAAAACCCAGCATTCTAGCAACAATATAACTTCATAATAAATCAACAATAAAGACCAGATATGTTAGCAAATAGCAATGTAACTTTGACAAGAAATACTAAAACTTATACCAAAGAACAGTTGAACAGAGTAAGATAATTGAATATAAATGACATGCAATAAACAATTAATAAAAACAACTAAAACATGAAGAGAAGCAAAAGCTTTAGCACGTAAATGATTAAAAGACAACACCATATTCATAGTAAAGAAGAACGACGTTGGGAGAAAACGTACCTGGCTACCTGGTACTTGATACGATTTCGGGATAGATAAGATGAGAGTGATGTTGGGTTAGAGAGCATTGAGAAAATGCAAGTTCAGAAGACACAGAGTTAATAGAAGAAAGAAAGAAAGAAAGAAAGAAAGCGACGCAGAGAATATTTGTTCTTATACCAATAATATACCCCTTTTTCGAGTTAGAAGGAAAATATGAAACCAAATATTCCAATGGAATATGCTCAAGCCTCAAAGGGCCCTACTCACTTGGTAAAATAGCCTTATCCATGAGATTATTTCATTTAATTCAATTTAACACGTTTTAATTTTAATTTTTGGAATATGCTCAAGCCTCAAAGGGCCCTATTTTAATTTTTGGAAAAAATATTAAAAACTAGTTTAATCTCTCGGAATAAAAAACTATATAAGTGATATGACCACCATTTCACGATGTAAATAGACACATTTTAATATCAATAAGCAAACTCTATTAGGGGAGATAAAAAAGAAGAAGATTCGTGGATTTGGCAAGTTATTGACCATAGATAGACGTAGAAAATGTTCATCATTGTATTATTGATTTCATGCTCCCTTGAATTTCATCAATATTGTCTTTATTGTTGTTGGTGTAATGGGTTTGAGCACCCTTGTACTCCTAATTATTATCAATTAAATCTTGCTTATCAAAAAAATATGTATAGATGAGCAAAGAAAATATAAAACACCAACACTGATATATATATACACGATAGTATTTGAGTTTCATTCATTTAACTATTACTAAAAATAATTAAAATATTTTAATCAAAATTAATATATTTAATTCTTTTTTAAAATATTATTTCAATACATATTTAACTCTTGTGTGTGAGACACCGATTTAAAATGTCAATGCGAATAAAAAAATTATAAACATTTGACTGATTTTATATATATATATATATATATATATATATATATATATATATATATATATATATATATATATATATATATATATATATATATATATATATATATATATATATATATATATATATATATATATATATATATATATATATATATATATATATATATATATATATATATATATATATATATATATATATATATATATATATATATATATATATATATATATATATATATAATCAATCAGATGTTTGTAAAAATTAATTTTTTTATTCGCATTGACATTTTAAATCGGTGTCTCATACACACTTAAAAGAGTTAAATATATATTAAAATAATATTTAAAAAAGAATTAAATATATTAATTTTGATTAAAATATTTTAACTCTTTTTAGTAATAGTTAAATGAATGAAACTCAAATACTATATATATATATATATATATATATATATATATATATATATATATATATATATATATATATATATATATATATATATATATATATATATATATATATATATATATATTTTTTTTTTTTGACGTTTTAGATATAAGTGTCGGACATTGTGACACTCATATTTCTATGTCCTGCATTGCATATTTATAATGTGATTGAATTAAAAGAATTTACAATCTTTGTTATGATCGCTCATAAGGCCTATAAATCAAGGCGTAAAAACAAGTGCCACAAAGGATTAGGTACGATTTCACTCAAGATCTAATCAGATGGTGATCCGCACAAGACGTTGGATCAAGCAGGAGTGGTTTTATCTGCCCTTTCTACATAAAACCCTTCACGCGCTAAGACTCGGGTATTCTACTCATTTTCACACTTATACTATTTTTCACCGAATCAATAACTTGGAAGTTGAAGTGCAAACTTTGCAGTTTCACACAACTCCTTCGTACCGGGAGCTTGTCTCACTGTGCTTAAGTCTTATTTTACCCTATCATCAATTATTTTTGGTTTTTGAACGAAACATTGGTGTCTTCTGTGAGAATCGACATCAATTCCTACGAAATTCCATTAGAAACTATTGTCTCTTCACCGCAACTTGGCAAACTTTGATCCCATCTTCTTCTCGTTTGAAACACAAATCGAACTCTTCAGATAATGGAAACATCAAGAGCCACTCAATCAACCATCCAACACAACAGTGGTGTTGTATCTGCTCCAATCCTTAGTGTTATCAATCTCACTAGGGAGGTTCTATAATGCCTCAGACTGCTTTCAGATTATCGATTGACTCCACAAACTAACACGGGTATTTTCTGCATACTTTGTCTTCACTCACACACTTTTTGGGAAACTTCCCATAAGGTCACTCATCCAAATATTAGTCCAAGTCAAGGACGTTTAACTATGGAGTTCTTATTTGTTAGGCTACCAAAAAGAAGATGCATCTTGTTGAGATAGGTAGTGTCAATCAATCCTTATAAGTCTTCCTTCAATCATGCAGTCTCATACCTGCATAACCTCAGAATCTCTCTCATTCTGATGTAAATTCAATTTTTGTATAGAAGCTACCAAGATCCGCTCATTGTCTTTCCTTGTGCACCGGCAGTCACTCCCTGTCCTCGTCGGCCTCTAGTGTTACAGGTTCTGCTCCCTCATACGATTAAGGATGATCATATCTTAGTAAATCTCTTTTACGCTCCTACAACAAAAGATTTAATCCCTTCTGTTGCACCCAAAAATTTGCCCTCTCTTTTCTCAATATATTTCTCACAAAGATCTTCAATGGTTCAAGCCTATACAAGTATTGACTAGGTTAAGCCATCTCCTCAACATTGATATCTCAAATTAGGGTTTGAGTTTGCACAAGGACAATTGGACTTATAATACTTTAAATGACTTTCATGGATCATTATGGACCCTCAAGATTGCTCATGTCAAGTTTCAAGTCTTGGATCACAAAATTGCTCAGTCAATTGATCAGATGACCTAAAATCAACTATATTGGGTAAAAAATCAATTATGATCAACCTACAGTCAAACTTCAAGATTTTTGACCAATATCAACATTTTGAAGTCATATGTATCAATTGATCAAAATTGGATCACAATTCCTCAAGAAAATTATTCAAAATACCAAAAGGGCAAAATGGTCAAAATTAGGATTTTGACTGAGAATGGCTAGTCTCTGAATTTTGACCTAATACGTGACTTATTGGTTTGAAACATGATCTCAAGGATTAAAATGCATCATTGTGACCTAATTTCATATCTCAATTCATTTCCCAAGAGCAATTGATTGATAGTTGAAATTTAGTCAACTGATACACCCAAAAGTCAAACTTTGACTTTTTAATCAAAATTGAGTTTCAAATATCACATTTCATCAAGACATTCAAAAATATGAGACTTTATAATCAAGAAATAAAGAAATTCAAAAGTCATTTTGAAAATTCAAAGTTTTTAAGACTTATTATCTAAGTGTTTTTAAGCCTTGTTTTTTCATGACTTCATGCCAAATTCTCATCAAAATGCAAGATGATTCAAGGAAAACTTCCAACATGAAAGTTTTAGATCTTGATGAAATCTACAAATTTTATTTATTTATAAAGTTCTAGAAATTCTTAGATTTTGAGTTATGAATTCACAAAGTCATGCATTTTTTCTTAAACACTTAGTGAAAATTTGACCTAGTTTTGGCAGATTTTTGACCTAACTTCTTGGTTAATTTTCGCCAGGCTCCAAGATGATTTTTTCAAAATGGCCAACATCAAAGTTGTAGATAATGTTCCAAGCTTTTAAAAGTGTACAATAACTCAATGAGATCATTTTTGAGCTAAGAGAATCGAAGAGATGAAGTTAGGGTTTCAAACTTGAATTACAAGGCAATTTTGTGATGAACACATAACCAAATCCATGGCCATGCTGCATAATATTTGCTTTGCAGGCCTCAAAATTGTGTTTCACTCCATAATTAATGGTTTACATAATTTATTAAGACCTTATCCAAGTGTTTGAAACTTTGTCCAAGTTGGTTTTCCATTTATGGAACAAAGTTACCATTTCCATTTTGATAAAGCATTGTTTTTGCAAAGGTCAACTCTCCTTGAGCTCCTAACTTGTTGTCTCTGTCCACACTCAAGATAAGTGATCAGAAACAAACATGTTTAAAGTGCCTAACCACTCTACATGCTTGTACCTTCTACCTTGAAACTACATTTCTCACTTTCCTTCAAAATCAAGCAACCTAGCCATAACCTTATAACTCAGAAATCCCTTGTGCAAAACATCTCTAACCTTTTGCTTATAGATACACAAGTCATTTGCAAGCAAAGAAACAAATTGAAAAGCACTAAAACTCCCTGAAAACAGAGATTGCACAAAAACTCCATTGTTGTGCAGGATCTGACCAAAAACTCCCAACTCTCAAACCAGTCGTGTGTTTCCTCTCCAAATCATTTCACAAGCTTCCTTACCTCATATATAAGACAT